CACTTACAGTGCATCTAATATAGCATAACTGATGGCTTGAACACCACAGTACAACAATCCATCACTAGATTCCTGCAGTGGAGGCCAGAACATCTTTATTTGCCACTTAAAACAACACTACATGTACTTCGTCTAGGTGTTGCAGGACTGCAGACTGGTGAAATATATAGATAAGCAAAATGCAAGCACTTGCCACACATTGTTGAATTGTCCACAATGAAGTCAGTAGCCCCTTTCCATCCTTGTCAATGGAAAGCTATGGGTTGTGCAGCCAGATCTGCAATACTTTGAATACACACTGGTTAGTAGAGGTTGTGTATACATTTTCAGAATGGGCTGGGAAAGTTATAGTTGTTGCATAGCTTGAATACCATCATGTGCACAGCAGCTGATTAGTTTAGTGCCATCCTGGAGCACTGCCTTACCAAAGCATGCAGGTGCACAATGGCCATCATGGCAGCTAGCCACAGACAGTGAAATGCTTCTGGTAGCTACCGTGAAACAAATTGTCCCAGGCAGTTGCCCAAATGCCTCAAGTGGGCACAACACCTTTGCTGGCCTGTCATCTCTCATCCTTCAAGGTTCCTTTACTTCCACATATAAGTGTCCCACTCAGCAGAGCTAGTGATATGATCATTCAGGCATGGCTGTGTAATGCTGGGTGAGGCCTGCATATGACTTCCCAGTGCTCAAGAATATGGCAAATCAGCAGAGCCAACTGAATGCACCTTTTTGTTTGATGCGCGTGAAGGGAGGAGAAGGCAGCCTGCCTCCTTCCTTCCAACTGACCACAGTCCTATTTCAGAGAGCTCCTCTTGGCTGCCACATCTCTGTTTCAAAACTCAGCTCTGAAGAATAAATTGGCTCACGGGATGAATAATGTTCATACCACTTCAAATGAAACCAAAAGGTTCAGGAAGTGCCTCCCCTTTCCAACACTGATTAGACTTGTCCAGGTCATGCTGCTAGAGACCCAGTATTCAAATTCCTTTCCAAGATCATATGATGAAAGAGAGGATCTGAGTTCTCTCCAAATACTCCTAACTTAATTTTAAATAGACACAGCATGGGTCAAATGGGAGTAATCTTCATCCATGTCTTGAGATGATGCACATATATTCCTCCAGGTAGATATATGGAAAAAAAACTCCTTTAGCTTCCATGGCTTCAAGCAGGCAGAGGATTATGCTCACACAAGAGGTGTTGTGTGGAAGAGCAACTAAAAGGCTGAATTCTCTTTTCTAAATGGGTTAACTTCTCTGTATAACTTCCTGGAGCTTATGCAACCAAAGAAACCCAAATAATGGACAGATTCAGCTACTATTGAGCATGTTTTATTCTACTAATCAAACAGATTCTACTTGCATGGCCACTTTCATACCAACAGGCAGCCTCCAGTAACCAGGATCATACTGCCTACAATAAAGAATCTCCAACTCTGACAAGAAGTTAAAAGCTCTGACTCATCCTATCCCTCCCTTAAACCAAAACAATAAAGTTCATAAAACTCAGGAAATCAGACAGAGAAAGAATGAGATTTTAAACCATGCTTATTTTAAATAAGTTTATTATAACTAAATAATATAAAACACAGACATCTTAAACATTTATTGGGGTGAGGAAAAAAACGCTAGGTGCAGAGTAGTGCTTTGTTGGTGCAGACAGTATAGACTGGAGACTCCAAACCAATGTTGGAATCTGACCTGTTTTCATTTGATTTGGTATCAGTACTATGTTTGCAACACAACAGAAGAAGGTTTATTAGTTCCTGTTAGTCAAAACAAAATACAATTAAGATACAGGGCAATACACCTTCCCTTTACCTTAAATAGTATAAATTTAAGCAAGGCTCACTATAAATGGAGCTTGCTATTTATAATATGAATGCCCAATGCAGATGGGGAAAATGGAGGGGCTAGGAAAGGAAAATGTACAACCAATCCATGTGCCTTATCGGTGTTTGATATTTCATTATTTAGTATGATTTCTTTGCTATGTTTAGTTAACTATAATGGTCTGGAAACATGATAAAACAGGATAACCCATAGGAATCGCACATATTTTCAAAACTTTTTTTTAAAGGGATCAAAGAGGAAAATATGGACTCGTGAACTTTGAGACAGAGTATAACAAGTTAATGGTCAGGATATTGAACAAAGGAAATGTTTAGAGCACATCTGGGGTGTCTGTTTAGCCTTATTATGTTATAGGAAGTGTATTTAAAAATAACACAACACAGAAAAACGCTAAGGCCAAGACCTGTGTTTTGAATAAGCATGCACATGACTGCAATGAGTAATCTGTCCACTTAAGCCTATATAGGCATGTGAGTGCATACAGGTACTTGTCTGTTTATGATCCCAGTTCAGAAGAGCTTTTTAATATGTGCTTTTGTCTAATCCTTGTTCAGGATAACATTTAAGTCTATTTTTCTCTGGAACTTAGATGTGTGCTTAAAGACAAAACGTGCTTAAGCTCTAACCTGAGCATGAATGCTTTTCTGAGTCAGAAGCAAAAAAAAGTGTCAAGTCCATGTTTTCACATTGGTTGGTAGTAGGGCCATTCTGATGTCACAGCAGTATTTAAATTCATCACATGGACCATAACCATGACCAGCCATATCATGGCACAGCCTCACTTTCATGCTGGGAAATCAGTAAATTCTGCCCATATCTCTACAAAAAGAGAGGTGACATTATTTGGAGCATTTGGCAGCCTGGAGCCTTACAGGGTTTTATTTGTTTGGAAGGAAGATGGATCTGAATTCAGCTGTTCTGCCTCTTCTGCCTTGATGACTTATCAGCATGCTGCAGGCCAGGGACAAGAAATAAGCCCATCTCCGAAATTGTGCTTTTGCCAATAAAAGGTAGAAACTGCCAAATGCTGAAGCACCTCAATTTAGATTTCATAAGTGAAATTAAAACTTCAAAGCATTTTAATTTCCTTGACACAGTGTTGTGGAGCCAGGGAGAGGCACTTCAAAAGAAGGGGACTGCATGCTTCATCTACTTCTTCTGCTCTGCTGTCACTTTACAGCTTGGGCCCTTTTTTAAAGTCCATTTTTAAAATCACTTTATGCACAGTCAGGGTAGCAGTTTTCAACTCCTCATTTTAGCTCTGCCTTAAGCTGAAAGCAGAAGCCCTGGGTGAAAAGCAGAAATGAGACAGGAAGTAAAGAGGGGTGGGTGTATTTAGGCTTCAAGCCCATTCAGGATTTTTTTTTTAAACAAAAGCTGAAGAGAGGCCAGGGGGAGGAAAAGATCAAATGTATTTTTGAAAAACAATATAATATTCTACAGTGGTCCACACACCTTTGAACTGCAGTAATGCCACTTAAGCTCCAGTTCTTTGGGCCATCATTGGAGTACTGTGTAGCTCATTTTTGTACATACAAAGCCTAGAAACTATAAAGAAAAGCTTGACAGGTTTTTTTTTTTAAACTATGAAGTATACTCAGCACCATAGAGCAAACAGCCACAGTGAACTTATCATTGCTGTTGCTTTATTAGATCGCTTTTCCTATAGTGATGGTATAAGCCCCTTAAAATACCAAGCAGCATTTGTTAAACATTACCTTAAAATGGAATTTTGTTTAGTTTTTAGTGAGTCACACTACAGCAGCAAGACGAAATCCCAAGGTAGTTTTCAGCAGTCTATTAATCCATACCTCTAAAACATTTTACCAATTTGTACAATTAGGGTGCTACAACATGCAATTGCTGAGTACAATATCTTAAAATGGGTGCATTTTAAAAGTACCAAATAAATTTAACAAATGATATCCATTTCTAAGCAGAACTCTACTGATATTATTGGGGAGCTCAGCTGATCCTGATGGCACTATATTATAGAGATACATCCTTATTAAAATATACTGACAGCCTTTATTCAGCACTATACAGTGTTTCTATCTGATTGCTTTGGGATTTACCATGTCTCAACAAGAAAATGCATCAGATAGTCTTCTAGTGTCACACATTCTGCTGGAGTTCTAAACTGAACTATAACAACTTCACAAAAAAGCAGCCTTACATTCCTACTGTAAAGCTACTGTGTTGGTTTTTTTTGCGCCATGGCTACATAGATTCCCTGAGAGTATGCAACTGCCAGACATCAGCTGAAAAAGTGTTTCTAAAAGAAAGGGCTACAGAAACGCTTAAATGCAGGTTAAGAAATCAATGCAGTTCATGCAAAATGTGCAGAAGACTTTAAGAGTGTCAGTATCTGCGAGTCAAGGACATTTTAATTTGGTAGTTGACAGATGAACAGTAAGCTTGGTGCTCAGTTGCCAGGCAAGCCCAGATGCTTTTAAGACTAAAAACAAACAATCAAATTGCCCTAAATCACTCTAAAAGGACTCAATTCCATCTCCGAATTTAAATCTACCAGTGTTTAGTCACTTGCTCTTTACAATCATTAAAATCCAAAGGAATCTTTACTTTATGAAATGGGCTAATCAATTTTACAGCAATGGATTCTCATATGTATTTGCTTGCTAAATTTATCCATTAGGTCCCAATTCTGCAAGGTGCTGAATGCCTTTTATTTGTATGGGTTTCAGTGGGAGTAGAGAACACAGAGAGACTCCTCTGTGACCATTTCTGGGACCATTTCAGAATAGAATTAGAGTACAGGAAACGATCAAGAGGTCCAGTGTTCTCTAAGGTCACAAGCAAGCTCCTGACATACAACTGCAAGTAAAAGGCCAATTTTACAAAGAGGAGTGAAAACAAGAAAACATGTTGTGAAAAGGAGTGCCCCTCTGAGCAGGGAATATACCAAACTAGCTACTAGTCAGCCTGCCTATCCCAAATGGTAAATTTGGTGGAAAACAGTCAGTTTTGAAGCTGAAGACTCAAATGAGGTCACTAAGTTTTCTACCTTGGAAACAAATAATGATGACAAACTGGAGATCCCTTCTGATTATCAGGGGAACCTTAAGCAAGAGAAAACTCCAATTTTTATTTTAACTTCAAAGTAACTTTTTATTGTTATTTTTCACAGGCTCTCTGCCTTTCTTACCCTCCCTCTCCTGACTGATATTTATGTGGAAATGCGGACTGACTCTACTACCTTCCCAGAGCAGCAGCTAAAGAACAAGAAAGCCAATTTCTCTGCTTTGGGTAAGTGAAGAATCCTAACTATAAGTGTGAAGGGATATAGGAGTGGACAGCCATTTATACTGAACTGTGGCATTTCTTACCTTCATGGGAAGGAGAATTATATGTGAAAACCCCTATGCATATGGCTTGATTCTCAGTGTTGGAATAACAAAGAAAATATTGGTCAAATTTTCAATTCTATTTTGGTAGGAGTATATAAAATTCATTAGTTTTCAAGGAAGCGCAGTTCCTGGACTCCTGTTGCTACCAGTGAGAACTGAACTGTAGATAACCAGCAACTCTGGGAAGAGTGCAAGAGTGAAATCAAGCTGTTTATATAGATGCTGAACTACAGTTTTTGGCATTCCCTTCAGGTACCAACATTTGAGGGTTTGGATTTTACAGAACTTTGTTTTTCTTAAAGTTGGAAATTTTCAAAATTCCTTGCCTCAGCCATGAAATTATTGCTTAAACCTGTTCAACAGGAAGCTAGGTACCAAGCAATGTATACTTCACTAAAGTCCTCTTGGTATCTGTGTTTTTTGCTACACCTGAACACAAGTATTTCTCCTAGGAAGAGACCATGTTTGCAACGTGCCACTGCATTATTATTCACTCCACTCCCAGGCTTCCTTGCCTCCTCTCATACACTAAGCAAAACTCACCCCTATGCAGAAGTCCTAAACATTATTTAGAGATCTTTTTGAGCACAAAAGTGAGTTTACACAGTGTTGGACCTATCTGTAAGGGACAGATTCAGCCTTAGTCATTTAACTAGCTTCAGGGCCAGCCCTTAATTCTTTTCTTTAATAGTAGCAGCGGTGGTAATGACTTATTTATTAGTATCACAAGAAAGAAAAAAGTAACAAAAGTCTCCATTATTCTTAATTCTCATTCAGTCACATGTTTCTGAAATACATGGGTACCAGCTACAAACAAGTGACAGCCTTCTGAAGAACTTTAATTTTCCTAGGATTCACTTATTTCAAAGTCAGCCTTTTGCAATCACCCTTTTAAAAGAAAGTATAATGTTAACCTAAGGGCATGTTTATAAAAATCAATTCTTAGACTGCCTTTTTGTCCTTAAATCACACACAAAGACACGCAACAGTTACATGGTTTGTTTTTGACCAGGTCATTGTAAGAAAAAATGACTATGGGTACATTTTTCAACACACCTAGTTGACTTTGAAACTTTGAAGCTTATGTCCCACTGACTTTTATTGAGATTCAGGTGGTGTTAAAAGTTCTACCGTATTACCATGGTAAATACAATAAGACAAATCTTCAGCTGGACTCAGCAGAGCTTTGCTGACAAACAGCAATTAGAAATCTGAACCAAACGCTCCAGCAATTAGCACTGAAGGCATAGGAACAACACAAGTGCAAAAGGTAGCAGTCATGGTACTGGTGCAGACATGAGGATGATTACATCTTTAAAACCTTCCTGCTCTTTACCTTCCTGTGCTGTGACATCAGCAACAACGCTGGCATCATAGTGAACTTGAGGATTATTTTTTAAACACCAAAAACATCAAGCTTGATGCCACCAGATGAAATTGGAGGGGATATCTGGTAGAAAAATTCCTTTGAACAATAGTTCAGTAACACTGGAAAGAGACCTCAAATTCATTAACAGAGAGGGAGAAGGTGGACTGCACCCAGGGCTATGCAAGGTGTATACTCTTATGTTGGCCCAAGAAAAGGGCAAAAGGAATACAGTTATCAAGGCTAACTCTTGGGAGACCTTCAAAATATTTGAAGGGGGCTGTACATCATTTTTGAGAATAAAAGGATGCCCTCTAAATTAAGCTTGAGATAAGGAGTAAACTTACCACTCAACCCGGTGGCTTCACTTTTGCCCTCCAGTGCAACAGATGTGGAAGGAGAATAGACATTGATACTGATGCTAGCATCACAACACAGACAGACATAGAATGGGCATGGGAAAGACAGCAACATTAACATACCACCAGTTCTCAGAGCTAACATCACAACCGCCCTTCTGGATATGTGCCTGGCACCTGTGCAAACTGCTAGAGTGAGAAAGTCAAGCTCTGCTCTATTACATTTGTGTAAATGATAAAACAAAATTGCCCCACACCCCCAAAAAGTTTTTTTACCTGAAAGTATTCACCATGCAGTCAGCCATAACCCTAAAATAAATGGTACCTCTGCATTTAAACATAAACAAGCATTTAAAAAAATATGTACATATAAAAAAAGAAGCAATGATTCCTTCCCCTCCCATGTTAAGGAAGATATAACAAACAGAAATGCTGTTCAGAAAAAACTTTGTTCACAAACGCAGTCCCTGAAGTTTCAAGGCACTGTCTTGCTGTTGTCATACTACCTCATCTGACTCCAAGCCATGTACTTCATAGAGAGTGTCCAAGATATTTAGCTGCTTTTCCATGGCTGGTAAGTAAATGTTGAGGTCTCTTTGCATTCCGTTATAAAAAGCTTCCTCCTGGTCTTCACACTGCTTTACAGATAGTGCTGCCACAAAGTCTTCGTAAGTTGGAGCGGCCCTTAAAGCTAACTGAGAGAGGAACACAGGTTTAAATCCGCAGACATGGATAAACACCGCACAGATGGAGAAACAAGATCATATACCTATTGGTTTCTAGCTCTATTAATTTTATGAAATCTTAGAAATAGTTTCAATGATATTTTGTAAGTTAAGACATTTTATTTTTTAGTATTTACAATAATAATAAAATAACACACAAACAGGAGGTAGTGTAGTGAGTTAAAACAAGATTTTAAAAGTACCGAGTAACCATTGGCAGGTTAGTTTTGGGGCCCATATCCCTAGACATTCAAGAGGCCTGGTTTCTAGAAAGTGCTAGCACTGCAAGTAGCGATTTTTTCCTTACACTTGAGACTAAAATAATAACATATTACATTGATCAATAAGAATATTTTCAGGGGGAACCTGTATCCAATTTTCAGAAGAGACTCAGACAAAGGAGTCAAAGTCCTATGCTTAAACCCTTTTGAAAATGTTACACCCAAATCTTCCTCCTTGTCCCTCAGTCATGAAGATCACAGTCATCATACTTGCCTGGGACTTTAGAAATTACATTGCAGACAATACATAACAGACACCGGGGTGACTGCTAGCTTGAACATAGATTACTCAAATAGAGTGATGGAGGAAACAGGTTAATAAGCAAGTCTTGCTTTTACAACTAAGTCTGCTTCGCTCCCAGTTCAGTGGTTTTCAAGAGTTTTTAGACTCAAGACACGCTTCCAAAACTTTTCAAAATTCAGTGGCATCCCATTTTAACCCCTCCCTCCCCACGCAAATATCAATATTATGATGTAAACATGATCTCACTCTATTACTAATTAACATGCTATTAACTGATGACACAGTTATTTTTTATTCACCCTACTACCACCACTGCTGTGGCCCAGTGGAACTGTGCCACATACCTCCTGCAGAGCAAGAGTGGGAAGTGACTGTGGCAGCAGCACATGTTGTTGCCGCAGCCCTTCCTGGTCCAACCCTGCATAGGATCTCTCAGAAAGAGGCCCACGGGGAAGGTGGAACTCTCTCACACATCTCTGTTTTCAGGAGGCACGCTGGAAGCAAAGAGCTATAGCAGAAGCAGCATGCCTGCCTGCTTACAATGCAGGCAAGTGCAGCTTTCTTCTGCAGCCACTTTTCAGTTTGCTTTTGAAATGTCTCATGAAAACAAGCATGCGGGACAGTTTCACCCTGAACAGTGGTGGTGCCAACATTGTGGTGCTAACAATGTGGCAACCATGGCAGATTCTTGCAGCACCTCAGTTGAGAAGCACCACTCTAGTCCTGCATACATGCATAGGTAGTGAGCACATCTTCATGACGGAGAACCCACTTTCAGAAATGTACTTAAAAATGAACACTATGCTGGAAAGATGCCAATAATGACTCACTTAAGCTTGATTTTTAAAATTTAAAGAAAATCCCAATGAGACTGCATGGCCACAGACTCTCCTTGTTTACATTTTAATACACTATATTAAAAGCAAAAAAGTATAAAAAACAAAACAGGTCAATACAGGCCACATTCTAGCCAACCATCTGTACCAGTAAATAAGGAACACACTTACCGCAAAGACCCCTCGCACAACCCAGCCATGGTGCTGCCGTAATGTCCTTCCATATGCATTATCTTAAAAGAAATAAAAATGAAGAGTTTCCTACAATAGCTTTTAATGTTGTTTCACCTTTGCATGAAAGCAGGGGATTAAGAATGTTTAAAGCCTAATTCATTCCAATTAGGCACAAAACATGGCTCTTCTTGCATTTCAATAGTATTTAATGGACAGCAAGATAGAGGAAGTGACACAATCATGACTTTTGGTTTGCATTTTCAACTCTGCTACTGACATCTGTTCTTCTGGATGCTGTATGTCCTCTGCAGCACAGGAGAAGCATGTTCCTTTCATCTACTTTACAGCAACCTGGGCCTAGAAGAAGGGCAAATTGAGGTACTATGGGTCAGACTACAGGGGGTCTGGGGAGAAAGGGACTTGGTAGTGGGGGTCTATTAGAGGCCCCCACACCAGGGGGATGAGTCAGACCTAGAATTCTCGAGACAGCTCTCAGAGGCAGCGCGCTCAAAGGACCTGGTCGTCATGGGTGACCTAAACTTCCCAGACCTGGTCGTCATGGGTGACCTAAACTTCCCAGACATCTTCTGGGAGGAACAGGCAGCCAGGTCTGCCCGTTCACCTAAGTTTCTAACCTCCTTACAGAACCTGCACCTATCGCAGGAAGTACGCATTCCCACTAGGGGAAATACCTTACTAGACTTGGTGCTGGCCACAGAGGATGACTTGGTGGGGGATCTGCAGGTTCAAGGTAACCTAGGGGATAGTGACCACCTATTGACAGAGTTCACTATCTGGAGAAAGGTGGGGAAGGTAAGTAGAAGGGCAGAAGTGCTACACTTCAGGAAGGCCAACTTCAACAACCTCAGGAGATTAGTTAGGGTGGGACTGACTGGTAAAAGCCTCAGAGAGATGGGAGTCCAGGAAGGGTGGGCGTTTCTCGAGGGACTAATCCTGCAGGCACAGAAAAGGACCATCCCAATACACATAAAAGGGGGCAAAAAAGCAAAGAAACCCTCTTGGCTGAGGACAGAAATCCAGGAGCACCTGGAGGAGAAAAAAAGAGGCCTACAGGCTGTGGAAGCAGGGGGCAGCCACGAAGGAGGAGTATACCTGCTTGGCTTGAGCTTGCAGGGAAACAGTGAGGAGAGCCAAAGCGGAAATGGAGCTTAGGCTGGCAGCAAAAGTTAAGGATAATAATAAAAAGTCATTATTTAAGTACATAGGAAGCAAAAAGAAAGTGCAGGGTAACACAGGGTCCCATGAACTAGGGTACCTGGTAACAGATAGGATGGCCAAAGCAGAGCTTCTAAATGACTTCTTTGTATCCGTGTTCCTGGGCACAAATACAAATACGCATCCGATTCGGACGTTAGGTAAGCCCAGGATAGTTACCAACCCACCAACTGTTAGTGTTGACTTAGTAAAGGGGCACCTAGAGGGGTTGAATGTATTTAAGTCAAAAGGCCCTGATGATCTTAATTCTAGGGCAGGGGTGGGGAAAATACGGCCCACGAGACCATTCTATCAGGCCTGCAGGGCCCCTAAAAAATTTAGAAAATTAATATTTATCTGTCTTTGGTTTCTGTCAAAAATGACAGAAACCAGGGGCAGTAGGACCCAGGGGAATCCTGGGCAGGCTCCCACAACAGCAGGGCCCTCCCGGACCTGCTCCCCCAGCCGGAAGCCCCAGCAGGGGCTGCTGCCTCGGAACACGTGGCTGCCCCAGTGCAGGAAGTTCAGATAAGGGAGAGGGGTGGGGGGGGAAGGGCAGGGAAAGAGCACAAGGAAAAACGGCCCCTTCTCCACCCCATGGCAGTGCTCCCTGCTGCAGCCACTCAGCCCACAGGGCTGTCTTGAGCAGGCACAGGCAGCCCCAGGCAGGCTGTGAGCGGCTGCAGTGCGGGCCACAGGGCACGGAGTGGGCAAGGTGCCACTCTCCCTCGCCGCACTCAGCACCAGCTTGTAACCCACCCCCACTGCCAGCCTGGGCCCTGCGCTGGCTGCAGGCTCCCTGCCAGGGCCCCATTGCGGCAGCAGGATCTGTGGCCCACCCCGCTTGCCGCGTCAGGCAGTGTTTGCTGCTGCTGCCTGCCCGGAGCTCGCGCTAACCTGGT